TTTAACCGAGAGACATAATATATAGTCAACAAGATGATGGGAATAGAGGGCTCTTAACACAATCTAATGACTTACTAGGTGATGTATATATCTTATTAACCAAGCGCGAGGGCCGTACTGGGAGAATATCGGCCCGAGGTCTTGACAGTACGGACCGAGCGCAGCGAGGTCCGTACAAAAAAGACCGAGGGCCGATATTCTTCCAGTACGGTCCCGAGCAAGCTTGGTTAATAAGAGATTTATTATACGACTGAAGTTCAAAGGGACACAAGTGCGGTATCATTCGGGACCATTCGAGACAGTGCCCGGTCCAATACTGAGAGAATATTGGACCGGCAATAGAGCATTTTGATTGGTTGATTTTAGTTATTGGCCCTCTGACTGCCCGAGTCGTGTAATAAAAGTAGTTATTATAGTTCTTATAAGCTGATACAGGATATGATGTTGAATACGTTTATTACTGTTCAACTGTTTAGGGTGCTTTCCGATTGAGTGTCGTAAAACCAAAACGCATCGGCCAATTAAAAGAAAGGAAAAGGAATTTGATGCGAACTCAAAGTAAAAACAACTAAACTGCCAAAAACGCGGGAAAACGCGGGCAACCAACTCGTGATTGGATTTAGTTTAGCATCTGATTAGTTGAGAGAGTGGCGCGAGTTTTCTGGACCAATCACAGAACGAAGTAAAGAAGAACCAATTCATTCCCGGATTACTTTGAACACTCTATTGGAAATAACTCTATTAGGACCATATCACTTGTAAAAACATTTTCTTGTAATAACTATTGATGGCTAATTGACACACTGTAGATAAAGATGTTTTGTCTCTAATTAAAAGGAACAGAACGAGGAAGAAGAGGAAGAAGAGGAAGAAGAGGAAGAGAATGAAGGAGCAGATGGAAGCGAAGACTTAAAAACAAAGGCAGCAAGAATAAGCCAGTCAAGAGTAAGAGATACTATTCCCTTTTTGGTTTTTGTCAGGTATTTCTCTTCACTTTTCTTTCTTTTCAAAGCGCAACTGTATTATGAGTTAACACCGCTTCAAGGGCTGGTTGACATCACCACAAGAACGGAATATAAATGTTGCCTGACATCTTGCCATCGGAGAGTTCCTGAACAGGTTTCAGGATAACCCCCAACAACAAACAGCAGAGTTAACCAACTACTTTGGTCATTTGGGTCAGCCGTCGCTTCCAGTCATTCCAAATCCAGGTGCACCAACCTCTGGGTGTTAGAGGAAAAACAAAGCCTGAATTGCATGCAAAGCGTAGAATAAAACTTGAAAGTTCGATAGCTGAGTTGAATACATGTCAAACACAGCAAAAGACTAAGGACAGTTCAGACAGCTCATTTTTTCTCCTTTTTCGTTTTTCGCAAAGCGTCTGTATTATTTACCTTTTTCTTATAGTTCCTCACAGATGACGACTTCAAGAAAATTAAAATGCGAGAAATCGCTCGTCAGATTGATCCCAAAGCGGGCAAGAAGCGAAAGAGGACTACAGACACTACGGGGCTCGCTGAGAGGTTTGTCATTTATCTGTGGATAAACAAAAATGTATATATACGTGAGCTGTGTAGACGGCGGGGTATTGTAAACTGGGGAACTAACGAAAAACGTACGGTTCGCTCGTTTTTGTGTTTGGTTCTGGTTCGTTTTTGTCTTGGTCCTTTATGCGCTGGTTTGTTTGCTAGCTCATTTCCTTTTATGTGAAATTCTGGTCGCCTGGATATAACTTTTGATCAGGTTTCATCAACTGAGTTGTTTCGAGCGTTAACCATTCGTTGGAGCGAATACAGGAATTGTGGGTTGTGTGTGTTTTATATGCAGAAAATGGAGCTATGCTATTGGTGAGTCAGGTGAAAAATAAAATTAGTTGAGTGAAAAGTGGTCCTGGATATCGTGGGGATTGAGAGTGCCGATTTGAAAGATACGTTTTTGTTCTAGAGATTTGCGGCTTTCCAAACTGTCAAGATGCAAGGAAATTCCACAGACTGCCATATACTGCTTAGAATGATTCGGAAGGTTAAAGTGTCTAGCTACCGTTTATATTTGCTATTCCTTTCTACGTCACGAAGATGTTTGTTTGCTTCTATGCTCTTAAGCTGTTTTTCCTTCTACACAGAAACGAACTTCTTTCCGTGGGAGACATCGAAAACATACATAAGAAGAGAAAACACGATAAGGATTCAAGACTGGAGACTGTCATTGTAAGTAGTGAGTAACGTAGATTGATATTGATATTCTCTACTCTGTGCTCTTTGCATTTCTTATAGTAGTGGCAAGGAGAATTTGTTTGACAATCAGGAACTTCTCGAATTGGTGATCATTTCCTTTCTTCTCTTGACATTCATATTTGATTTTAGGGTGATACTGCAAAGAGAAATAGGTTTCCAGACAACAAAGGGTCAAAGAATTAAACCCGATTCCAAAATGATCCGAACGTGAACCACTTCTTCTAGTTGTGTGGTGGTACTTTCGTTCATCATGAATAATGGGTGAATTGCATTGAAAATTCATCTTCGACCTGTAGATATGGTGTGACGAATTTAGCTTTACTAGTGAATTACAGTTTAAGAAAAAAGGCCTTCGAAGGGCTATAACTCAATTATAGAAACACTTAACCATTTCCCAAGAAAGGATGTTTCGATTTTCGTTAAGACACAATTTTTTCAGGTTTCAATGTCATCTAGGGACCAATCATTATTCATAGCCGAGGGGGAAGGGAACATGTGATTCATTGTATCTCTAAAATGGACTCTGGATGAGGCAATTTTAAACCGCTATCGTTTAACTTTTTTATGGCCATCCACACGGAGTTATACAGAATTTGTTACTGAATGCTTCTTGCTAAACGAGCTCGAGGTCCACACTGTAAGTTACGGACCGTGTTTTTTTTCTACTCGGACTGATGGCCTAAGCGCCAAGCGCTCGGGCCATAAATCTGCACGGAAAAACCAGGTTCTGAAACTTACAGTAAGCACCGAGAAAACGAGGTAAAGAGACTGAAGACATTAATGAATATGGCGGGCCGCACAGTGAAATACGGGTCGCTTAATTGACCAATCATAGCGCGGGCCATGAATCTGAGCAGAAAAAAACTCGGTTCCGTAATTTACAATACGGATCGAGAAGGCGAGGTTAGTAGTAACTGAAGACATTTATGAATATGGCGGGCCGCACAGTGAAATCTGGGTCGCTTAATTGACCAATCATAGCGCACGCTCCAACTGAGAGATATAATAAAGCAGACCAAAGCATGATATGTCAGCCTTGGAATGATAAATGGTTTGAGTACCTGAATTTTTGCAATGATCGTTCGATGCGTTTATTTGCGAAGAAATAAGGACCACCTAATCACTCAAGTTGACGTAAGAACACCAACTGATAGAGGTAAAACATGACGCTAATGGCGATCAGCAAAGGGTCGAGGGAATTTTTTGCCATCTGCTTTCAGCCGTCAATTCACTTGGACCGAAGTATCTGCATTGCCTGTCGACTTTTAGATTTTTGAACCAGGGTTTATTTCATGATAGAGGAAGAGCTAGTAAGCTAGAGTTTATTTTTGGCGTCGGTCGTTGTCGTGAACGAAATGCTCGAACTCATTGATCGCTATTGCAGTTTCAAATTTCACTTGTGGCCTTAGTGTGTAACTTCATATTTCCAACATTGTTGTTTGTGTAGTTGTTGTTATTTCAAACAGGGTGGTGTGCTAAATATAAACGTTTCTTTTGTAATTCTCTAAACGTGCGGGGTGAAGGCTTTTATGCTTCACAGCGGCTCAGTTTGCGCTGGAAATTGCAGACATTGCTTCACGGTTGGACGGATACTTACTATCTCTGTCCACATCTGCATGGTACTCTTTGGCTGTCACGATTTGTTTTTGTAAAGGAAACCGCAATGGTTCGTTTTGATCAGCGAATCTCGAGCACTGTTCTAAACTGCACGTAGAAGTTGCTTTCCTGTGTTAAGAGTTCCTTTGCATGCTCCGCCACTGATAACCCGCTTAAGGCGTGTTCTAATCCTGCCTGATAGTATGGCTTACAACTTCCTCTGTTTCTCGATACATGAGATGGAGCTCACGTGGTGGGCGCGCGATAACCCGCGTGAATTACGCACGCCTGACACGCGTAATACGCGCGCGTGGGGTAACTACAGTGTTAGGTTATGTTGAACGCGAGTAACATGTATCTTTGCAATTTTTAATCTACTTTTGAAATGGAAATTGATTTCCGCGAAAACTCGCTTTTGATTTCTCGTTTGTCTCAGCCTTCCACATTGCAATTGGATTTGATTTAGATTATAAGGAGAGTCTTTCTTGTCCAAGTCGTGATTTTCTTGTGATTGTCTTCAGTCTTGTGCTCATCCGTGTCCGATTTTTAGTTTAGAAGCCTATCATGTAGAACTTTTTATCGCTCGATGAATTCGAATTTTCCGCGATTTGCCGTTGTAACGAGTACGACATTCACGAAGTAAACAGGAACAGGTTACGACAACTCACCAGTAGCAGAAGTAACCTCCTGCTCTGCTAAAACGGAACTCTTTGAGTTTCAGTAGACCGTGACATGTTTCAAAAGGTGAAGTGTAGCGTGACTTATTTCGCGTCATCAGTGAAGACCCGCGGGCTTCAAAGTAGCATTTTTTCCGCCACCGTCTCCTGACACCTAACCTCCCCTTGTACCGAGAGAAACACAAATGAAGCAAACAGGAACTACAAAATGGCTAGCCTGTGTACAGCCGCCCCATCCCTCAAAAAAATCGGGAAGGGGACCCCACCCGGGTACCCCTTCCGATTTTTTGGAGGGGATGGGGCGGCTCTACACAGGCTACAAAATGGCCCTCTTTTTGGTGGATTGTACACGAAAGGAGTAACTTTCGGTCAAGAGTGGTCAATGACTGGGAAAAGGTTGGACACCAGGGCGGAACCCCCCTCCTTTTTACACACATACATACATACCCAGGGTAACATTGTGGCATTCTGTTGCATCAGAAGGGGGGATTTTCATTGTGGTATAGAGCGTACGCTTTAACTTTTTTTCATTAAAGTCGAGGAAACCACAAACTATAAGCATGAAGTGGGGGGAGTAGAGAGATATTGTAGAGATATGGTAATTGAAAAGAGGTAATGGATGGTCCTTAATGGAGAAAAACTTTTACATTGATTGCAAACTACGAACTTGGCACATTTGGGCTGATTTTCTCATAATGCACAGATCTTGGGGTCGCGTTGAAAAAGTAAACCAACAGCATGTTTGGGTAAGATAAGTGAGTGGAAACAGCAGGCTTTTAACATTTCCTCTTTACACGTGCGGTTAGTCCAAGAACTTCCTGCACTCACAGCGGGAACTTACCTAGATTTTATTTATAGCTTCCTTGTGCTACAGAAAGATCTGCTCGTCCTAAGACTTAAGAGATAATTTCTCATCCGTTTCAAGGATTCAAATGACTCAATTACACATCGTACTTCGATGACCCATGTAGCGGAATAAAAATTGCTGTTGTGTACAGTCAATATCACTGAATCCAAACATGTGGCTCTTTCCTGCTGCCTGCATGTTATTCTATCGCGATCATATGTGGGACCTTGGAAGCTCATCGGTCTGATGTTTATTTTGGCTATGTTTACCACGAGCACATGATTGATAACACAGTCGGGGTTAACGGCTGCTTTGGGTTAAAATTACAACTTACGTCATAATATGTGAAGTTATTATTACAGCATTGGCTTTAAAATAGAAAGAAACCTCATAGATGACTGTGCATGTGCTCTGGTGGGTGGTTAATGAAGTATTTAAATTGAACCATGTGGAAACAGGCGGGGATGGCTCAAGATGGTGGTTACTAACACAGAATTAAATTGAAGAGCCTTGAAGACGATGGCAAAATGTTCAAAATTTATAAAGCACGAGTGAGCATCCTTGAGAGGTCATTTGGATTTCTTAATCGACATCACTACAGGAAGGTGGAAGATTTGGGACCTTTCGAAAACATTTCCTTTTACAAAGTCGGGACTTTGGTTTAAGATATTGGTGCAAGTGGGAATTTTGCTGACGCGCATGTCACTAATTAATAGATAAACTGCGAACTGTTTCCAACTGTTTCGCATAAACTGAGGGTCTAAAAGAAAGGCTTTTGAAAACGTATGGTCTTGTTGTTGATATGAACCTCACTGAATCGTGTTACATAGCCGCCGAACAAAGCTGTTGGGGATTAGGTTTTGTTATAGATCCGCACAGCTCTTTGTAAATGACGAAAATGTTTACGTCAGTCAATTTATTTCAAGATCTGCCAATATAATACAATACTAGCGTGATCTCGACTCAGACAAGAACTAAATCACTATCGTCTGCCTTTTGATGGAGTCTTGCATACTTGGATTTATAGCCAAACATTGCATGCATGAACAGACAATAATACTTTGAAAGCTTAGGCGGCGTTGGCACGTTTTTGCTGCTTTTTGCATTTTTTATTTGTCTTGATCAAGGTGTTGTACATCAAGAGCAAATAAGGGGTCCAACTATTTTCACTTATACGTCAATTAGAGAAAGAGCCGGAAAAATTAGTCAACAACCGTGAGCTTTATGTAAAGTGATGACGATATTTTGTGTTTATCACTTCTCAGACATATACAAGTGGTTGATATTGTTTTAGAGTGAGACCGGCATTTGGCCGGTCAACCAATTGAGAGAAAGGCTAACAAAAAGAGAAAGAGATTGAGTCACGAAATGGTCGCACGGTTTCCGCATTTTTTTTCTTCTGTTGGAAACTTCACACAAGGGAAAGAAGATATCTTTAAATCCACTTTTTTTCTCGAAAATCCTCTGACGTGCATGCACTGAACTTAAAGATTAGTGCAGCTTATCTTAGTGAGGCGGCCTCGGGGTGGTCTTTTAGAGAGGATCAAATGCTTTTTGAATGAAGGTCTCAATTTGTGCATTCCTAGTCACCAAGCTTACTTCCTGTCTCCATCAAAGGTATAGATATTGGTTGACACAAGCGTTGGCTCCTGACTTTCTAAAGCTAAAGGCTTTTAACACGAACAATGTTTTTGGAAAATTATGATCAGATTCCTTCACGGAAAAGAAGAACGCTGTTAAATGTGTCCCGCTCTCAACATGTGGCTTCGTAGTAGTTGTTAGTAGGGTCCAAATAGTATCTGGGAGGGTGAATGA